ACAAGTGAAGTGTTACTTTACTTCTGAGAGTTTTACATTCTTGCATTTTAGCACTCTGTTAACATATCCTAAGATAATCCAAGCCAAAAGGTAGCTCCATATGAAGCTTCTATCTTAATTTAACTTCATATGGACCAGCCTGAAAATCACCAGTGCTGGAAGTCACCACTGCCTAACCCATTGAGTTCTAGCCAAATACCTCCAATTTCTCAGATTCTCGAGGATGGACCTACATAAATGCAATTACATTACAGAGAGACCTTTACAAAAATACACGTGTTCACACACATACAATTAGCAAAAAAAAGAGTATAGATTCTGAACCTATGCAGTCTTTATTTTCATCTAATTGGGGGTGAACTGGCACTATATAAGAATCTCACTAAGGAGCTCAGTCTGAGTGGCTTCTTCTCATTCACCTCTCACTACAAGGTAGACGGGCCTGCCCTGAGGATTCTCTGGTAGAACGACCCCGTGCCTGCCTCTCAGTCCTCTGCCCATGATCTCCATAACATTGTCAGTAGCTGAAATGAATCACTTCTTACATATTTTATTTCTTATCTCCATAATTCCACCAGAATATAAATTTTTCGATCTCAATTATTCAATATTTATTAAATGAATTAATGCATGCTTATTGCAGGTTTCTCCTGGCTCCTGGCTCCTGGGTTTCCCTCTAGAATTCCATCCAGAAGATATCCAGGTATTTCCCAACTTCGTTGGAGATGGAACAATTAGTTTACACTGCTTCTTAATGGTGTATGCCCTATTCATTCCCTCCTATCCTACATTATTTGTTCATTAAACTAACAGTTCACCCAAATGAAATTTATATGAGTACAATCTGGAAAGACATTTCTGTTTAAGTGGAATATGTTTTTTTTTCACTGCCAGAATACATATTCTATAGAGAAATACAATTGTGTTATAGAAAAAGGAAGAGAGAAAAAAGACTTATAAGTCCATCAGCTCCTATTTCTGGAAAACAAACAGACTATCTTCAAGAAAGCTTGATCTATCAGGTTTAAGCTCAAATTGTTAAAATATTTATTGTTTTATATAGGAAAATATTTATTGTTCACCAAGGTGAATTATTATTCTCTCTGCCATGATGAGGTATGTGAATCTGTAAAAGATAATTATATAAAAGATAATCACCAGCTGTTGTCTATTTGGAAGTCGGCTACTACAGGAAGAAACAAACAAAAAGGATCCCTCCGATTGTGAGATCCTTGAGGGTAGGGGCTACATATTATTTTTGGGGGGGTCCCCATAGGTGGCTAGCCTAATATGTTGAGACAGAAGGTAAAAATAATATGCATTAATTAACACAGAGCTATGAGAGATTGAGCTAAATTTCCGTGTACGGAAAATTCTTTTGATTGGGGAGTTAACTAAAATTAGGAATTGGATTCCTGAAGGAGGCCAGAATTTTCCCCCTAAATTTCTTTTCAAAAGAAAGCAAACTATTCCCTTTGTCCTGATAAATGACTTTTCTTCCAAATATAACAAAGTGCATTTGGTGTTTCTCAGTCCCTTCAAACTGTTACCTTTCTTTACATTACCAAATTTAACAAGAACAAGTTGTAGTAGTTATATTTTAATAAAGGGCCATCCTCCTTGCATTGATGCAATTAAAAATTTCATGATTTTACTGAAAAGTCACTGGGTCTTAAAGCCATAAATGGCATTAAAATGATACAGCCTAAGCCCTGAGGTCCAGATGAGTAAACCTTGTTCAGGCGAGACAGAATTGAGAGGTCACAAAACCTCCCCATCATTAGTAATAGCACTGTACTTGCTCAACAATGAGAAAGCAGGCTTTGAAGATTGGAGTTTGCACCTAAGGCTGCTCTTAAGTATCTAAACATATAAGACAAGATTTAGAATAGAATTCTCCTTAAGTTAATATCTGCCCAAAGGGAGAGCATTTTAAAGAAGGACATGAAGTCTCATAAAAAACAGAGAATTTTAGTCATAAGTAATCAGTAAAAATACCAAAAATGTGTGATTAACCCATATTTTAAGATATTATTTCCTGAATGTGCCCGTGATGAGCTGATTTCATTTGAAGGCTTGTTTGTAAATATAAGGTATACTATTTGAAGAATGACTCTTAACCACATATTTTAAGATATTTTTGATAATCACAATAAAATATACTATACATTGCATCTTAGTACATATACATGTAAAGAACAGACACATATTTCAAGAAACCATATTCACACTGTCACAGGAGATGAGCATAATGATTTTCTATTCTACTCCTCTTCATTTTAAAACTCACAATGAGTCTAAAACCTTTTCCAAAATCACTGCCAGTTTCTCTTCCGAGACTGTCCGCAGGTTAATATCCACCCTATAAAGATCTATAACACTGTCTCAACATAAAAAATATTTTGATAATATTAAGATAGCAGTAGAGTTAAATTTCTCTAAATTCCAAGTGCTTCTATCAAGTGCAAACCCCTTTATTGTTTAATAAACATCTGTTGCTGACACAGTCAATTTTATTCCCTTAGAAACCAGAGACACCCCCCCCCATCCTTGATCCCACGTCTACAGCGTCTCCTTCCCTGAAATCTTCTGTCAACAGAGAACTTTCCCTTTTTCCTCCCAAATTACCTCTAGCACAATTAGTACACAGTTAGTACTTTAATCAGCCCATACCACACACCACTTACACCTTTTTAATACATTCATGCCATTTTTCTCATTTTTTGACTTCTGTTTAGTCTCTTTAAGTTATGGTTAAGTGCTGTACCCACACATTCAGTAGCTTTAAGGAACCACACCAGTCCTGCTTGCAGAAATATTGGTTGTTGATAACAGTGATGTTGGATGCCCTAGGATTAACCTCCAACAGAAAAATCTCCCTGTTCTTGTTTATCACACAGCACAGAGGACAGCAGCATGCTCCGCTTAGCAAAAATCTCCCTGATTCAGTTTCATGATTTGAGCTACACCCCGGAAATTCTCAATATTTGGCCCTCTGCAGTTTATTATAGGAGATACTCAAGCAACTGTAATAATTATCTGATTGTTTGCATTGAAAAAGGGTAATTAATGGCCTGAAAGCAAATTCTTAAAGGAGAATATGGTCAGGTGTCAGCTCCTCAGCAACAGCTGGGGAACAAGAAACTTTTGCACTCAGGACACAGATGTCAAAGCAGAGAGTAAAGATCATGTCTAAATTCTAAATTCAGAAGCCACTTGTACAGGTTTTGTTTGTGTCACTCTGAGTGTGTGTGTGTGTGTGTGTGTGTATTCATCCTTCTCCCAATTGCCCAGCTTCCTTTCCTTGTCACATTTTTTACTGCAACCAACATCATTCCCACTTATATCTCCAGAATAAAGATTCTTCAGAATATTTCCCTGCAATGGGGCGGTGCTGTAAGGGTTTGAATGCATGGTGAGTCACACACAGCCCTCTGGGTCACCAGACTGGAGGTGGCAGGGAAAAAGGGGGGCTTATGGAGGGGACAGTCTGGAAAAACAAAACCTGGAAGGTCTGGTGGGAGAATTGATCTAACCCTGGATTCTGTTTTCTGCTGAATCCTGAGAAAGCCCCAATGACAAGAATTGGGATCTCTGAAGTCCCCCTGGAATGGAGTGGGGATTCAAATAAGACAGAAACACAAGCACCTTTTTTTCCTATAATTAATTATACTCTTCAAGGGAGGGATCCTAGAACAGGAAGGTGCAGATTGCAGCCCCATTCAGAGAGCACCTCTGTCACCTGAGTGCTTAGGAGAAACTCCGACTGCCTGGGAAAATGTGCTGTGTGGCTGCCTGGCTTTCTTGCCGTTCTATTATGTTGTTATCATTATTTCTTTTTGCGGAGCACACAGCGTTAGTAATCTAAACAGTGCACCGAATACGTGTGGTCCCGGGACTAACGGGATGCTGCTTTCTCAGCCCAGTGCCCTTGAACAGAGTTAGGAAAAAAGTGCCCGCTATTGCCTCTCTCTGCCCTGGGATGAACTTAAAGGAAGTGGAGGGCTGCGCATCCTTGCAACCAACTTGCCTGTCCCCCTGAGTGCTCCCGCCAGCCCCAGTTGCGGGAGCTCCTAGGCTCCTCCTGGCATTGGGGAGTTTAGGAGGGAAGGGAGAGGAATAGTCTCTGCCCCAATTAGAGCGCTCCAGACCCGGGTCTTCCCCCGCCATACTCATTGCGCTCCCACAACCTAGTCTACTGTTCTCACAAACAGCCCCCTGCCAGGTGGGCGATATTGCCTCCAATTCAGCCTGCTCCCCCATATCCGGACAGTTGCCCAACTCTGGACGCTCTCTCACCGCCCCTTTTCTGCCCTCCTGCCACCTGGCTCTTTATCTTGCCTCCTCTGAGCACCCCAGTTCCTAACCAACCATGTTCTCATCATCCCCATTCCCTTCCACTCCCCCACTACCGACCCTCTCCACATACTCCTAGGGGTGCGGTCCCCAGAGTGGCGGGCGAAGGAACCAGAGTGGTCTTTGGGAGTGGGTATTTTTGAAACTCACCTCCCTCCAGAATTTGCATCCTCCACGGGGGGGGACAGGACTCTCAGAAAGCTGTCTCCGGGGATGGGCTACGAATCTCCCAGCTCAGACTGTCGCGCCCCCCACCCCCCACCCCAGCCCTCCCAACCCAGGGTCTAACTCGGACCCCTCTCCTGCTTCCAGTGTTTACGCTGCGTTTTAGTCTCCGGGACTCGTGGGGTGAGCCCCAGCAGGGCTTGGAGCAAGGCAGCGGCGGTGGGCGCAGCCCCCTTCGCGGGCCAGAGCTAGAGGGGCTGGTGCAGAGGCGCTCGAAGCTCTCCTGCTCGCCCCTCCCTCTCCAGGGACAGGAGGGGGCTGACGAGGGCGGGAGGGTCCGGGGGCGGGGGCGGAGGTGGGGGGGCTGGCGCTCATCAATTCCGTTGACACCTCCTCTTCTGCCTGGGGGGAGGCGGTCGTGGGTGGGGCGGGAGCGCTGGCGAGTATAAGACTCTCAAGTCAGGAGAAGTTTGCGCACAGCTCACTGCTGGGCGAGGGAGGAAGGCGCAGGGAAGGTGAGCCTCCCGGACTTTGGGGAGGTGGAAATAAAGCTTGGGGAAAGAGCAGTTGCCTTTTAGCCTATAATACTAGCTGGCACTAGGTTTGAGCCATCATTTGAGGCTGAAATAAAGTGTCAGGAAATCGGGAGGTGGGCAGGAGAAGAAGGGTTCAGGACTAACGCAATTTGCTCTCGCATTTAACTAGGAAAGCCAGCCCCCCAGACTCTGGGTGGGCTACGCCGCGGCCGGCGGACCTTCCTGGATTGGAGAGGTGCGCGCCGTCTGCACCTCACCCTGCGGCTGACATCTCCTGTCCAGGAGATGGGCGCTGCAGCTTGAGTTTCTGAGTCTCGGGAACCACCACCTGCCCTTTGCCTCTGAGCTGTGCCAGGCGCCCAGAGAGAGTATTCCAGGTAAGAAGCATCTGGGAATGAGTGGGACTTAAAGCTTTGGGCTGTTCCCTGGGATGGTTGACAGTGGAGGTGGGCCAGATAGCTTGTTTGTTGATTGCAAAATTGCAATTTAATTGTTTTTGAGGTTCTGAGGGTCTGGTGTCTTCTGTTTTTGAGGTTCTGAGGTTCTGATGTCTGTTTTTGAGGTTCTGAGGGTTAGTCTCATTTGCTTCACTTCACCCTGATTAAAGAGAAGATCTTGGGAAGGTGCTACACCTTACAGTTTCCTAGTAAAGAATCCTGATTTCTTGTGACTTTTACTGTGTTGCTAATAACATTTTTTTTCTTAAAAGTTTGACTCTTCGTCTTATCGGGTATGAAAATTATGGGGCTGAAAGTCGTGTTTCTTTCTCGAAAGGTGTTTATTAACTAACAAACAGATAGTACGAGCATCTATGTGATGTGTCTTGGTTGTTCTGGATATTGGAAATGAGTACAGTGGTGAATAGAGTTGCTTGTTAAGTCATGTTTTACAGAGAATGATTTTCCAACAATCATTTATGCATAGCAGCCATTCTTCACACCTATTAGGAAAAATATGTTGTGTGCATAGTTTCCAAAGGGGTACACTTTTTTCATGATGCTCTTTCCAAGCCTGGGTGAAAGACATCAAAAAAAAGCTCTAACAAATTAATTCTTCCCCAAACGTCCATTTTCCTTGAGGTTCAAGGAAATTCAATCGAAGTCAAAAATCAACAGTCCAATTAGATTTTTAGTCTATTGTTCAGGCTTTATTTTGCAAATCTGCTAAAGAAAAGTTCTATCAGAAAGCTTTAACCTAATAATGCAAGATATATGCAAGACTAGAAGGTAGGGTTCCGTGTGCCAATATTCAGGAGACCCTCTCAATTTCATGGCTGTGTTTAACCTGAACCAAGTCATCTATCTATTCAAGGCTATTTGTTGAAATTTTTGTGTGATTAAAAATGAAATGTTAAAAATAACCCTAAGTCATAGACCATGTAGTTCCTGACACTAATGTTTAAACAGAAGTGCCCACATTTTATTATGCCTTAAATGAGAGTAGAAAACAAATATTTTATACATTAGAACTATTTTGTCTTAACACTAAAGAAAAAGGTAGGGCTGCATTTAGTGTTGTGTGATTTATAAAGTATAATTTATTTAATAACATATTGCTAGCCTACTATGTATTCAGTTAAATAATTAAATTTTTAAAAGTTAAGATTGCTGGTTTTTCACACTAGCATTTTGAGAGCAACTAAGGTGATTAGATTTGCAAAACATTTTGCAGTTTAAGTCAGTAATCTCAGTGGGCACTTATTTCTACTCAATATTTTAACATACCTCAAAATACCAGTCAACCGGGATTTGTTTTGGTTCAATGCCTCTAATCTACAGTTAATTTTAGTAACTATAGCCACAAGAATAATATTCAGTCATATTGTAAAATGCTCCAACATTATTTATTGACCATAACAATACAACACATCATGTAGTAAACATGCAATCCTCTTTATGACTTATTGACAAGAATACTTAAATAACCATAGAATTGTCCTTTTCATAAAGCCCAGAATTGAAGAGAATTAGCTAATATAAATATAGCTTCTATTTCCTATTTTCTTGTGGTTTTGGAACGCTAAATAATGAGTGACGATGGATGGCTTTGATAGCATTTGCTTCAGTCAGTTGAAAAAACGGTGCTAAATATTAGCTTCGTAGGCTTCGACAACCCTTGGTGAAATTCTTAGACTCTCAGTATTGAAATGAATGAAGATATTGTCTTTTATTGTTTTTTATTAGAGTAAAAATTAAAAGGAAGTCGGAGACTGGTGATATTTTCAATGATAACCTAAGCCGGTGTTCCCAACTTGGGTTGCAAACTGGAATCAGTAAGAGTGCTTTCAAAAATATGGATGCCCAGACCCTACCCCAAACAAATTAAATTAGAATATCTAAGGAAAGGGTCTGCAATATAGTTTTTTTTTAACATGATTGTAATGTGTTACCACGATGGAAACCACTGACCGAGATGGTTTCCATCAGATTTGGTAGATTCATTATTATTTGGTATCTTGGTAGAAAAAAAAAATGCCACATGTTCTATTTGTTGGTATAATCTTTGTTTGTTTGTTTTTTTTAAAGAAAAATGTATGTAACTTGATTTCCCAATTAGAATACAGAGATTCCCTCCCCCCCCCACCCTTGATGGTAGATGTTTAAACCATAACAGCTACTGGTGGGGGGGGGGGGTGGGAAGAAATATTTTCTTTTTTAAGAAAACAAGCTATTGGGTTTGAAACTTATCTGATCATCCAAAAAATCCTTTAGCAAATGAACTCTAGCTTTAAGAGGCTTTGGGAAATAATGCTTTATGAAACACAGGGTTTGATCTGCTTTTGCTAAGTCATTACATGATGCGTAATGTACAAACATGGACCCTTTTGAAAGGGGAGAAGAAGGAAAATAACACCATTCTCCTTGGCACACCTACTTAATTTATTTAAAATACAATATCCTTGTGAGGTGCTGTTATTTTGATTTTATGTATGAGGAAATTAAGGACCCACTAACCTTTATTAAGGTGAATAAACTTGCTCAAAATCACAAATCAAGTAAATTTCATATACATTTGATCCGAGGTATATTCTTTTTCTAAATTCAATACCCTAAATGGTATGTTTATATACACATATTTAAATTTAAATTCAACATTTTAAAAACATTATATTGGTAAAAAGCACAGATTCTGGTATGACTCAGCTCAGGTTTCATCCCCGGTGTACTTCCTAAGGAGCTGTGTGATTTGGGCAAGCAATCTAACCTCCTTGTCTTAATTTCCTTTGTAAAATAAGATTTTCCTAATGAGAATTAAATGAGTTCATATTTGTAAGGTATTTTGGGTAAGTGCCCGGTACATAGTAGGTCCTATGTAAGTGTTGTTTTTTTAAGCGTCATTAATTCAAAAGATATTTTTAATTATTTATTATATGCCACGTATTGCATCAAGCCTGAAGAAACAAACAAATAAGACGCGTCCCTATTCTCAAGGATTTTTTTGTCTAATAAGGAATGACCAAAATAAAGTAATCCTTCCACACAGGTATGAGATTTTCTTCCATTTTAATTCTCATGAAAAGTGTTATTTTGTGTGACAACTGTGTGTTTTTCAATGTGAATAAAACCTTTAGAGATTCATCTATTTGAGAATTTTATAAAACAGAGTGATAATATTTTGTGTAGTCTCGATCCTATTAACTTGTTTTCAATTCCACCAGCAAAACACAGAAAATAATATTTAACATGTTTCTGGCTTCAGTTTATGAGCTTCAGAAACTGGTAGTATGGGAAGTTTTCAAATCTTTAAAATTTTATTTTAGAGGAAAGAATTTACAGAGAAAATATTATTAGAAAATATCATCAGACCCTATTATTAATACTTCTAAGTGCAATTTTCTTGACTTGGTTTTCCAAAGAATCTGATTGGAATGTATTTTTTTTTTCCCAAGAAAAATAAATTTTCAAGGAAGAGTGTGTCAAGAAGCACATATAGATAAAGAGTTCTAATACCAGACGGGCTCAACAAGAATCTTTCTTCTCGGAACTGGCAATGATGCTTCGCTGAGCCCGCGTTTCCTTCTGCTGACTACCCGGTACCTTATGATACCTTCGGGGTACCTGCAGATACCGAGGCATAAAAGTCTGTCTCTATTCAAATGAAAGCCTCTCTTTATTACAAATAGCATATGAGGTTTTATTTTCTATAAAATAATATAGATACTCCAAAACTAAGGAGCTATATTTCTAAAAAAAACGAAGTACCCAATTTGATGACATATTTTTTGGTCTTTGTAATCAATATTTAATCAATATTTAATCCCATTTTAATGAAATGGGATTATGTTTGTAAATATATCTTTCTCTTACCAAGTCTCAAGACTGCTCCCAATTTTTCCCACAGATGCTGCATTTTCTTCCTCACAATTTCATTGCCACCCCTATTACTTTAAACTTTTTGTTACCTTTAACAGAATCCTTAAATATTCTCCTATTATTCAATTTAATTCTCTCTATGCTGCATTCAGTGCTGTTCAACACCATCCAAATTGTTTCAAAACTTCTGTTTTGTCACCCACAATTCGTAATTATTCGGTGATTGTCCTGGCACCACAAGACTCAGAACCTCTTCAATTCAACATTTAAGATGTTTCATGATATAATCCCATTTTATCTTTTCTATCCAAGTCAGGTAAACAACTACAACAGTTCCCTAATGCCAGTCCTAAAGCCGTAGTGATGCCACAAGATTGACTCCAGTTTTGGAGTCTATCCTTCACTTTCAACCTTGTGCCCTTGACTATCAACCTCCCTTTATTTAGAATCTATTGCCTCAGTACTGGGGTGTGTGATTGGGAAGCCCTTTATATCAGTGGTTCAGTTGTGGAGCTGCTTTGACTTGGCTTTGTTTTCTCGAAACCCGACTCTCAGCCCCTGCCTTTGATGTTTCTGGTAGTTCAGAATCCCATGTTTCAAATCTTCCTCTGTCCTTCAAAATGTATTAACCATTCTGCCGCAATACGTCCATCAAATTTCTATCCTATAGTTTTCCTCATTAAAAACAAAACCAAAAAATCCTCATTATTTACTAAATACCTTTTAGTCAGGGGATTTTGTGACAATTTATATTTCCTGGCTTCATGAATACTGGAGGGGACACACAAATCAAGAACAGTTACACACCGGTGTGCTATGCACCCCGGTAGAGACATGTCCGAAGCATATGGAAGCGGAGGAACAGCACTGAATGCAACATCGGGGAAGCTTTCTGAGAGAGGCAACTCTACAGAGGACATGATTCAGCATTGAAATGACAAGACAGAATGAGTCTGAAAAGAAGGAGGAGAACTGAAATTTGTTACAGGCAGCACCAGGCTGTAAAAGTCTTGGGGGCTTGAAATAGCTTGGTGATTTAAGGAAGTCTTTTGTATTTTGCTTGC